AAAATGTTCTCCTCTGGAAAAAATTTTACATTGAAACAAACAAACTCTAAGTGAAGTTGCATTTGAAAATCAAGAAAGAAACTTGAAGGCAATATTTTGTCTCTAACTTAAAACTTTTAATGTTGAATAAGCGGGAAAATATTCGAATAAGAAAATGATTTATTAATTAACATTAACCTAGAAATCAACGTAATCTAAAATTAAGAGACAAAAAACAAAAAAAGATGATTATCATTGTCATAAAATATTACCCATTTGTATTGCTGAGAAGTTGCTCGGAAATTAGTAAAGGCTACAGATTCAGAATTATTTATTTCCCATCTCATGATTGACAACAACTAAATAATGCTTTAGGTAAAGATGCTCACAATTAGTCAAATCTGCTATTAACGTGTGAAATATAGTCTTGCATTTACACTCTAAAAGTCCTTCAAAATTAGTCAAATGAGATTCATTTTTTTTTCCACTTTTTTAGGAATTCGCTAATAAATAGTTAAATGTACAATAAACAATCTCAAACTGAAAATAAGAGCTGTCATCTGGCAAGATGTACCTTTTTTTTTTAATAATGGAAAATTTTATTTATTTTTAAGAAAATTTTGACAGAGTTTCCCCTTATAAATGGACGAAAACTCTTTGCCAACAAACACAAATTGAAGAAAAAAATCACATGGCAAGATGTACCTATTTAGTCTAAGTTGGCATTTTATTTTGCCCTGCATCTAGTCTTCGTACTAATCTGTTAGTTAAATTAATTTTAATTTAATTTTAAAAATTTGTACTAATTTGTACATTTAACTAATTTAATATGGGCTTGTGCGTGCACACAATATGTAAATCACATTAAAAAAAATTGAGTTAACAAACTAACAAAATCAGTGATATATTACCTCTTCTTCCCTTCTTTTTGGCGAGTAGTGTTCTCTTGGTACAACATCTTGATTATATGTTCCATGAACTTCATCCATACAAGCTAACCAAGCGTTTTCTACCTTGTGACAAATTTTGCTAACTACGACGATTGATATAAATGGTTTCAATGTTTGTACGCATTAAAAAGTTAGACCAAAACTGACAAGTCTCAAATACAGAGTTTAAGCACCTGCTAGAATCAACAAGTAAATTACTATTCAACCTAGCAACTTTAAATTAAGTATTTGTTAACTAAAAAATGGATTAAATTGCTACAAAGCTGTAGTTATGTCCCTTTTGTTTTATTTTGTAGTTATTAACTAAAAATATTTTAAGATTCTTCATCCGTCCAAGAAATGGTTTTTTAATCCTATTTATTTTTCAATGACCTTTTCAGTTTTGTTCCATTTTAAGTTAATGGACGTGGACAGTGAATAAATCTAAAGAGTCAATGATAGTGATTCTGATATAGCCTTTAAGATTCATAAATGCAATTAGTACATTATATGCCCTTTGTCACTTTTTCATCTTTATGAAATCATTCAGTCTTACAAGTCAGTTGAAGATATAACTGCAGTATATTATTGATGTTTATGTATTCATTTTTTACTTTATACATGGTAAATTTGGTTTTGTGTCAGATGATAATAGATCTCTGATTCATTACATAATATTACCAATTGATCATTTCAATTTAGATGTCCAAAACTTTTCTTTCTTTTCATATCTGCTGTAATGACAATTCTTTTGTGCATATCTTGTTCTATCCAATAGAAGCATGTTATGGTCATCGCTGGAGAGAAATAAGATAGAACTTCCTGATATCACTTCTGGAGTTTTGAATGGATTTGGACTTTTTCGTCTGTAGTGATCATCAAGCTATAACATCTAATACCTGATTTGTATTACAAATACACCATAAATTAGAAATTTCCCTACTTCAATAAGTAATGTATCAAATTCTTCTTTTTATTTTAACTTATGACTGCCATTAGTAGACATAGAAATTGGCGAGGCATACATCATCCGTTACATGTATGGATGTGACGATGACCTAGAAGCACTTGAAATAACAAGATTTCTGTAGTTTTAGTGGTCAACGTTCTATAATGTTCATTTCTCAACTCACTAAAACGTTATTCTTCATATTTTGGTGTCTTGAGGTTCTTATATTAGCATTGCTCAATTTAAATTGTAGGATAAGTACGATAAGATTTGAGAGTGGAGATTCAACAAAAGATTTTATGATGACATATAGCGCCCAAGAAACCATCCGCGCCCTTTAGTTGGTATGCGAAATAGTTAGGTATGTTTTCTTATCCATGTGAATACTTAATCTTGTTAGATGGTCATAGTACTTTATTTCTGGGAGAAGTTTGACCTACTATTTCAGTCTAAAAACTTTGGTTTAAAATAAGTATGAAAGAATTCATTTAGACAAGAAAGGTGACTACTCTAAGCAAAATAATAAAAACAAAAATGGGTGGTCTTTTAGGTGGTAATTAACAATAAGAAAAACTAACTAAAAAGTTAACTTTCAATAGATATAATTGTACATAATACCCTCATGACATGCCAAATGCTTGGGACATGCTTCTTAGGAAGCTTTCCTTTTTAGATCACTCAAAATACAGTCACTACAAGAAATATATTTTTCAGTGACAAAAATTTATGTGACAACAAAAATCTTGTCACAGATAACCTAATTCAGTGACGACATTAGGTGTCATCACTGATGAGTACAGCACAAGCATAATCAGTGACAACATTGGAAGTTGTCATTCTCAACTCGTCACGAAATAGTTGGCGCGCATCTCATTTGATGCGCGGGAAATGATTTTATGACAACTCAAGTAAAGTCGTCACAAATGCTCTCTCTACAGTGACAACATAACTTGTTGTCATTGAAGGTCTACCCGATTCTAATTTTGTGATAACTTTTTGCATCACTGTATACTACAGTATTTTCATCAACTTTCACTAATTCTACTATGACACCCTAATTTTATTTTTTAGCCTCCAATTCTTTTATATTAGCAAAAGCACCGAAGATATGACACCCTAATTTTATAATTTAGCCCCTATTCATTACGTATTAGCAAAATGCAAATGATATAATAACAAACTATTTTTAGATATTTGTAATTTTTGCTAAGTTGACATAATAGACATGTCTGAGCATAAAAATTTTTTCACAAATTTTTTATTATTCCTTATAACAACCCCCAAAAATCAATAACTGAAATAATTTGAAAAAGTGTAATTGAATATAATTTGTAGTCTAATGTTAGCACTGTGAAAGATTAGTATAACGTGTAATACATCATAAGTAATAATTATTTTCATATGGAATGGGTATATACGAAATTAAAATTATTCAATAAAATATCTGTCGTGCAATAAGATTGAGAGTTGTAACACATTTAATAGAATATTTGATTACATGTTTCTTTTAATTTATTATAAAAACTAAGTAATAGACAAAGGGTAGGATAAGCATGAGTAAGAAGTGCTATACTGTATATAAGCAATTCTATAGTATTTTCATCAAATTTCACTAATTCTACTATGGCACCCTAATTTTATTATTTAGCCCCAATTCTTTTATATGAGCAAAAGCACAGAAGATATGACACCTTAATTTTATAATTTAGCCCCTATTCATTACGTATTAGCAAAATGCAAATGATATAATAACAAACTATTTTTAGATATTTGTAATTTTTGCTAAGTTGACGTAATAGACATGTCTGAGCATAAAAATTTATTATTCCTTATCACAACCCCCAAAAATCAATAACTGAAATAATTTGAAAAAGTGTAATTGAATATAATTTGTAGTCTAATGTTAGCACTGTGAAAGATTAGTAACGTGTAATACATCATAAGTAATAATTATTTTCATATGGAATGGGTATATACGAAATTAAAATTATTCAATAAAATATCTGTCGTGCAATAAGATTGAGAGTTGTAACACATTTAACAGAATATTTGATTACATGTTTCTTTTAATTTATTATAAAAACTAAGTAATAGACAAAGGGTAGGATAAGCATGAGTAAGAAGTGCTATACTGTATATAAGCAATTCTATAGTATTTTCATCAAATTTCACTAATTCTACTATGGCACCCTAATTTTATTATTTAGCCCCCAATTCTTTTATATGAGCAAAAGCACAGAAGATATGACACCTTAATTTTATAATTTAGCCCCTATTCATTACGTATTAGCAAAATGCAAATGATATAATAACAAACTATTTTTAGATATTTGTAATTTTTGCTAAGTTGACGTAATAGACATGTCTGAGCATAAAAATTTATTATTCCTTATCACAACCCCCAAAAATCAATAACTGAAATAATTTGAAAAAGTGTAATTGAATATAATTTGTAGTCTAATGTTAGCACTGTGAAAGATTAGTATAACGTGTAATACATCATAAGTAATAATTATTTTCATATGGAATGGGTATATACGAAATTAAAATTATTCAGTAAAATATCTGTTGTGCAATAAGATTGAGAGTTGCCACATAATTAACAGAATATTTGATTACATGTTTCTTTTAATTTATTATAAAAACTAAGTAATAGACAAAGAGTAGTATAAGCATGAGTAAGAAGTGCTATACTGTATATAAGCGATTCTATGCATGTTAAATTTTTGAAATATGTTTTATTGTGTAAGTTTTATTGTAAGGTAATTTCTTAAATAATTTGTATATTGAATTGTCCAAACCCAAAAAGATGTATATAGACACAAACAAGCACACATATATATACATGCACAAAAAAGAAACCAATATCAAATAATTTATTTGATATTTATAGATGAGATTAAGGAAAAAAAAGAGATTAAGTATGAAAAAAGAAACCTGAAAAAAAAATTGGCTAAAAAAAAAAAAAAAGATGTATGAAGCAAAAGGCGTGAATCCTGGAATCTCAAAGACGTGCTTAGATGCCAAAAAAAAGAGCGCCGGTCTGAAATCTGAAAGAGGCGCGAGGCGCGAGCGGATGGCTGAAATCTCTACAAAACGACGTCGTTTTGGTTGTTCACACACAAACAAAAGTCTCGCCGCTTCTCTCTTCCAACACTTAGACAAATTTAGGCTAGGTTTTAGAGGAGAAAAAGAGAAACAGAAGAGCAGAGAAGCGGCTAGGGTTCTTGGAAGGGAGGCCTTGAGCGTGAAAAGAAAAAAAATAGAGTGAAGGAAGGGTGGCGGCTGACGGGAAGATCAGGAGAGAAAGACGCGGCAACGGACAGAGGAGGAAGAACCAGGTCACCACCAGTCCGCGTCCGCTCTGCATGCTGTCTGCCATCGCCAACACCGCGCACAACCTCCTGGGCTGCTGCCGTTCTCTGTAACACTAGATGAAAGCTCTCGGACGAAGTCAGACCTAGTCATCTTCCAATTCCAACTCACCGTCTTCGGCTTCGTCATAATCGCCGTCGCCACCGCTCAAGTAAGAGCACTATAAGTCGCCCCTTTTTCTTTGAATTTCAGTTCCTTCCCAAGTCCTCTAAGCATGTCTGCCATGGCTTCGTTTATTGCAAAGCCCCGTTGATTGTTCAAATTTTAGCATGCGCATGTTATATCATGATTGAATTTGAAATCCCTTGTACTTCTGATGATTTTGGGGCCAACCGTGGCTTCATTTGAGCAAAGAGTTGCTGGAATTTTTCATGTTCGTTTACTGTTTGTTGAAATGCCCAAGTGGTCTAACAGCAGGCTGTAACAGGGCATTCGTTCAATGCTCATTGCTGCATTTTATCTTTCCCTATCCCTGTCTCAAGTTTACGCATTTGAGTCTGGTTGATGAACTTGTAAATCTGATTAGCATATCAGGACTGCCTCTGAGTTTCGTGATGTTTCTGCTACTTGGTTTTGTCTCATTGCCTGGTTTGATATTCAATCTGATAAGGAATCCGCAATTGAAAATGAAAATTGCAGCTAGTGTTGTCGAAACCTTCAGTTTGCTGAAATCTTCTTCCATTTCTTTTGCATGAAAGTCTCATAAAAAACTTGTATTCTCTTTAGTTTGATATTAGAAAAGTATTTTGTACTAAAGGCTGATGTGTCTATATCTAGGACATGGATAAAACTTGGATGAAGATTAGCAATAGGAAGGACAAGGCTTATGAACTCCGAGTCAAAAATTTCCTCAAATTTGCATATTCTCAAAAAGTTGAAAATCAGAAAATCTATATATCTGGACTAGTTTCGAGCATTTTCACGTCTGAGGTGGAAATTACTTCAATGATATTGAAAAACGAGTTCAATCATTTTAAGCAGGGATATCATTTCCTTTTCTTCGTTTTATGTCCAAGCACAAGAATATACAAGCAGAAGAAGAGTTTTTTTATCCAATAGCTAGTGATAAATAGAACATGAATCTACAATTACTTTTTGTCACTGAATATCGTGAATATGCAATCTTTTTTTTCTCAAATTAAGCACTTTATTTGTTCTGTTTTTATCAGTTCTTAATTATTTAGAAGCTTGATATTTTCTCAGTTGGTGACATATTCTAACTTGTCTCTGTCCTAAGATAAGAATCTTACTTCCTGTCAAATTGTGTCCCCATTGCCATTTTACGATTTTAATGATCCTCTTATGGGGGTAAATTTTGGTTCCACCTGCTAATTCAATAGCTTGTAGGAGTTTTTTTCTAATTATAAAGTCTTTACACAGTTAGCATAGAGGTAAATTTACTTTGATATCTCTTGTATAATCACACACATTCACTTTTCAGGCATTAGGTACTTAGAAGCCAAACAAATATATGACATTCTCCTCAAGTCAACTCCAGAAAGCCGTAATATATTTGGAAGGCTTTCAGGTGCTGCTGTAAGATCCGCAAAGACATCATCATCATCTTCTTAATCTCTACCTTCCTTCCTTCTCTCTGTGTGTTCGTGCTTGTGTATGTGTACCTGGACGTGTTTGTCTGTCTTCTCATCTGTGAGTGGTTACATGTGTGTGCATTTGTGTGCCTCAGGACAATCTTTTTTTGTGACTGTGAATGTGTTGCATTTTGAACAGGGTGCTTGGGAGGCAATTGTGCGTGCTTTTGAGAAGGATTCAATTTTCCTGGGAGAGGCTGCTCAGATAATGGTCCAAAATGTTAATTATGAAATGTAAGCTAGGTCAAAGTCATACATGAAGCAAGCATAGAATGTCTGATTAGTTATTTCTGTCTGCTTATTTATCCTTATCTTTTCAACTTTTAGACCTTATCAGAAGAAGCAGGTACAGAAGATTCAGCAGCAACTTGTTGAACTGGAGCGGAAGGAATCTGAGATAAAAAGAAATGCAGCCCTTTCAGCAACTAAATATGCAGAGGCTTGTCAGGATCTGGGATTGCAGGTTATGCTTTAATTTTTTTTGGCCACTAATTAGTTATTACAGTATATTTTTATAATAGTGGTCCATAAATGAGAATATTGTTCTGCTTTCCAGGGAGTAAATGTGAGGTCAGAGCTGTTAGAAACTGCAAGTAAAACTCTTCCAAGCACATTTAGCAGGATACTAGAAGTATTGAATGGTGATTCTGTGTCACTGGCTATTGAATTCTATTCGGCCTTTGTCAGAGATGCTCATTCTGAACAGGAGGTAAGTGAGAGTAAACAGTGTCGGAATCTGAACTTTCTGGGTAAATATAAAAGCATGGTGGAGTATGTTAGCACTGCAAAATCATGGTGAGAGATGCCAATTTTATCATCACGCAAGAATTTTCCTCTCTACCTGTAGAAAAATTTGGAATTGATTTTTAGTATGTGTACTCCATGAAATGCCGCTATCTCTTAGTATTGTTGCTACCTGTCAAATTTTTGTTTCAACTCTAGTTTGTGAATTCTGATTTTTCATAAGCGCCTACTTTATATTGTGTCTTTGTTCGAAATGTTTCTCATTCTTGTAGATGTACTGTTTACCATGTAAAGATATAGGACAATTGCTTTGTGTCCACTCATTTTTCTTGTTATGTAAGAGGACACTTTATATGACACAGGCCCTAATTCAATCATACTCCAAAAATCTATATATCTGGGCCAATTCCAACTTGACAGTGCAAGTTCCTATGCTACTATTTCTGTCGAATCTTTTAAATATGTATTAAAGGAATGGTTAAATTATAGTCTACTTGGCATTGTTGCTGCTTTTGAATGGCATTTTGACTGTCCAGGATGTGGTCTTATAATACAATTTGTTTAGCTTATATAAAAAGCGAGTTTTCCCTGCTTTAGATTAGTTATCTGCTAGTTTACAAGCACAGTTCCACCAAAAGAAAAGCAATTTTGATAAGAAAAATATCATTAATATAATCTTAATGATGAAGGACAATTCTCTTTAATCTAAATGGGAGAGAGTATGAAATAAAAAGTTGTAGATTCCTGTCGTCTTCTAGCGCAATGAAAGGACTAACCATGTCCGTAACACACCAGGGCTTTCATGGAATCTCATTTGCCAGCATTTAAAGAGATCAATCCCCAGCTGGAGGTGGTAACTGAGCTTAATTGTGGTCAGCATCCATATTTGAAGGGACTATACCGTAAGAACATTTTTACAATCTTGACAAACCAGTTCTCTAGAATTAATGTTTCATTCTTAGTCTATGCCTTGAATTTCACTTCGTTTCAATCTCTCTACTTTTTGTAATTTTAGCCCCTTAGACACAGATCAAAAGGATATATGGTTGCAAAGTTCAGTAATAGATTGAAATAACATGCATGTCTTTGTAAATGCACCTTCTGAGCTTTGTGTTCTGTTGATCTCATTGATTATGCCTATCCAGCTGCAAAACTAATGGATGCACCTGGACAGAGGTTGTCCTGTTACTCCTGTACCTTACTACCATGGAAACATTTTTGTATACTAATTTACCCTGAGCTGCTGATCATGACACTGGCAGTCAAAGCACATTGAGATGTAATAGATGGGATTGGTTTAGGTTCCTTTGTCCTGTCATCTCTCAAAATGCGTTATATTGCATCTACTGCTCCAAGTGGAAGTGTAATTTATCTACAAATATTTTTAGCATAGCTATTTCATCTCTTAATTGCTAAAGACAGTCAAAGTTATTATATGTGGCATATGTACACTTTGCTTGTTCTGCACTTCAATATGTCTTGAAGGTAAGAGCAGTTGCCTTCTACTTGAAACATAACTTTGTGGCTCTCAGGCGGGAGTATGCCTTTGTGGCTTCTTGAAACATAACTTTGCGGCTAGTTGAAATATTTTTCCTTTTAAATTAATTTGGCAAGTCTCATTGAGGCAACAGTTAGGTTTCGTGAGTTCCCCTTTTGAGATGGTTTTTCACTTTGGGATGTATTCCACTTTTTTCTTTGTCGAACTCATCTAAATTTTTCTGTATCAGAATTTTTTTTTTGTGCTAAGGAAAAAGAGGCACCTGTGATTGTGTGTGTGTGTGTTTTTTTTTTCTTGATATACTGTGTGGTTCACGATCATCTAGGCTCTCAATGATTTTAGGATTTTATTGTTGTTATTGTTATTGTTATTGCATATATATTTGTGAACATGCAGATATTTATTGTGTTTGTATTGTTATTCTATATTTCATAGAATATACATTCATTGTCTTATTTGCTATAATTTCACTTTATTTTTGTGTTAAGCAATTTACTTAGATTGCTATAATTTCAAATTAGAGTGACATTAGTTTTTATAATATGGTGCCTATCTAGAAGTGTAGTTCCAGTTTTAACACCAGTGCTCATTGCTTCAATTTTGGTAACGTGTAGGTTCTAACACGATTCCCAAGAAGAAGCCAGTCATTGCTGTGAAGATGGTTTTTGATTTGAAGACTACAAGGCCTATCGTGCTCATGTTTTGTTCTAGATGGGAATCGTGCTCATATTTTTGTATAGAACTTTACTACTCTCTATTGTGGATGGGAAATCACTAGTATTGTAACTGAATGGCTTATTTTGGATGGTGCATGCTTTATGACTCATTTGAGGCAACATTTATATATATATATATATATATATATATATATATATATGTATTTGGGTTGATCTTCTATTGGAAATGAATGTTGGCTTTCTTTTCGTATGTTGACTTTTTTTTTCTCATTGCTACTCTCAATGAACGTTTTGTGATTGTTGGCAGCTATGTTGTGTAATTAACATTAGATTATTGCTTTTTACAAAAAAAATAAATGACAATAAAAAAGTTGTCACTGCCAACAAGTTTCACTAGTGACACCAGAAAGTGGTCACTTTTTATGGATGGAAAACAATGACAACAAAAGTCGTCACTGAACGGAAGCATAATGTGACAACTCCAAGGGTTGATTATGACAAGAATTTAGCCAGCTTAGTGACAATAAAAGTCGTCACATAATGTACAATAATGAGTGACGACAAGAGTCATCACAAAAGCGAAATCGTTTGTGACGACTTTCAACAGTCGTCACATGGACCCCCTTTTGTGACATAGAACTAGTGACAGCTCTGTGACAGCAGTAAAAGTCGTCACTGATTTTTTTTGTGACGACTTCTGAATTTTTAGTGACGACTTTCGCCTGTCACAGAAACGCAATTTTCTTGTAGTGAGTAGTCCATTCATAACAATTTTTATAGTTACATAACATTTTGAAAACTTCAAGCTGCAACATAGCCACACATTCGTAACAGTCTATTCCTTGTAGGACTGTCAATGGGATTAGGCCAACCCGAATTCACCTCGTTCGGCTCGAAAGAAAACCCGATGAGCCAGACCTTTCAATATGTCAATATGAGATTGAGCCTAAAAATTAGGCCGAATTAAATATAACCCGAGTTTGGGACTTATTAAGCTCAAACCCGTTATAGGCCCACCTTCAAATTACCTATATATAATGATATATATATTGATATTATATATAATTATATATCCAAATATATTATTACTAAATATAAAAATTATAAAACACAAAATATATTTGAAAACTCCTCTACTAGCTTTCTTGAGAGTCAGTATTGGTAATCTATAACAGAAATTTTAACTTTTCTTATTGGTTGAATAAATTTTGTATTAGTATAATATGTGTTGATTTCTTTTTGATCTAGAAACATAAATCATCAATCATATTTGGATTCAAGTCTCAAACCTATGAAGAAGTTCTAACCTTTGAAGATGTATTGGCTTATAGGGGTGAGCAAATTTGGTACGTACCGAATTCATACCTGAATTCAAATTCAATTTGGTAATTTGAAATCGGGTATTTTAATTTGGTACAAAGCAGTATTTACCGAATTCACCGAATTCTAATATGGCATGAAATATGTAATGAGATTATGAATTTGTAATAACCGATTTCGAATTCAAATTCGATAAAAAGAAATAGGGTACCGTATTACCGCATTCGAATATCAAATTACTTTATAAAATTATATAAATATAAATAAATGCCATTTAGTATTAGTATATACTACTAATTTATTAGTATATTATATAGGTAAATGCTATTAATAATAGTTAGTATATGGTATTATCAAGTATTTATGATAATAATATATAATGATGTACAATATACTATTTTAGTATTTGTTAATTGTTATATGACTATAATAATACAATTACAACAATACATAACATAACTATAATACTTATTATTTTACACATGACTAGAATTAGATAATAATTAATAAGTAGAGGTATAATACTAAATATTAAACAATAAACATAATTAGTAATTAGAATTTAGATATTGTAATTTGGTATATCATTCATGTTTGAATTATTGATAGTTGAATGCATAACTTATAACTTGCAAGTATTAGTGTACTCTAAAATTACACTACATATTTAACATAAAAATTCATATTCTCTATTCACTAATGTTAAGGTTTTAAGCATAGACAAGACAACTAAGTAGTCTAAGTGAATACATATGAATTGCAAATCAATGTATTAGTGTATTGGCTTTCACTATTAAAAGCAATTTGGTGTTGTAGCCTGTAAGTTTGTAATTAGATTGATTACAATAGCAGCGTAGCTATTAAACTTGATAACAGGGTTTAATTAGGCTGAAAATTGCAATTAAAGGATTCAATAGAATTTTTATGTTTTTTTAATGAATTCTGGTTAACCGAATTCATTACCGTTTCCAAATTCAAATTCGGAATTGAAATGAATTCAGGTATCTCCAATTAGATATAAATATTGTTGAAAAATTCTTGATTTATGTACTTTTTAAGAACTATTACTTGTTCATATTTAGTTTTAATGTTGTAGTCCTGTGAATGTTAAATTAGTTCTCAACTCAACAATTGCAGTAAGTATACTAAGAAAATTAAGAGCAATAAGTGAGTTTAGACTAAAGCCGAATAAGGCTCAAAACTCAAATATTTTTTGAGTTGAAAATGATCATCACATTTATTAATCCAACACTCAAAGCCCGAAACTGAAAGTGTTACAAGTTAAATGAGTTGAACCTGAACTTATGAAAGTTCGGCTCATATAGCCAAATTGACAGGCCTAATTCCTTGTCATTAATTCTTTCTAGCGGGGATTATTATGAATAAACAACTGTCAAGGGATCCTTTTCTTAAAGCAGACAAATTTGATGTTAAGAAATAACATTTTTCTAAGCAGACGAAGTTTGATGATTATGGCAATTCAATTCCTTGGATATCTAAACAATTGGGTTGGAGCATGATATTGTTGCATATGTTATAATTATCTATACCGGTGATATCTTTTGACTTTGTTAGAACTTTTTTAATATCCAAGACTGAGCCTTAAAATTGGCCTTGCATTACAAGCATACAGTCTCTCCCATCATAAATTAACTCAAAATAATTTATGTTTTAATCTACAATTACTTGTGGTAAGTTACTTTAATGAATCAAATCACACTTAAAATTCCAAAATGGGTGTCCTAAGTTGTATTTATTGTTATTATTTGGGTAATATTTGACCTTAAGAATCAATCTTTTTTTGTTGTCTTGGTAAATACAAGGTTTAAAAAAATATATTTTTCATGGAGATTAGTTCTACAACTATATTGGGAAGTCGTGATTATATGAAAGATATTTGTATTATGGCTATATTAGTGCACATGTTATAACAGATTATGATATGGACATTATCTGCTGCAAGCAAGCAATTTTTGCCTAAACAAAAGAATCATATAATTTGCTTCAGTATTTATACCGAACATGCATCTACATTCTATAATTTGATTTTATTTTGATGTTTCAGGTTGCAATTTTGGTACTTGATATTTTCCATTGATGGCTAAGCAAACCACTAAAAAGAAAATAAAAGAATAAATAGAATAGGATACATCGTGTGCCGAATTCGATGGTTTTCTTTGATAAAAATATGAATTTGTTTTCTTTTCTATATTCTAGTTTCTCGATTTTTCTTGAATTTTGATAAAAAAAGATAGGATTATCAAATTATGATTTCAACTCGAGTATTTTTATGATTTTGGTTTCTTGATCAGTTTGCCTGATTTCAAATGATAGGTTAGAATTGTAGTGTATGCTTACATATCTTTTACGACTAAATAGATACAATGTCTTCATCAGGAATCAAGAACTGAAATGTGAAATTGATCATTGGCCAACACTTTGGGTTTCAAAAAGTATACTATGATGCTATTTTTTCTTTTTAGTTATAGCTATCGGTTAATATTTAATTAATAGTACAAAAAATTGTATGTCTTTTGATAAAAATTTTCAACTCTCTATATTGTGACTCTCAAGTAGATTAAGAAGCAAAGTAATTTAAGCAATTTTTTGTTGACTACAATGACAAATATAAGTAGTCTTTCCTATTTATAGGCAGTACAAGGTTTGTTTAGGGACATGGAGTCTAAGATTCCAAGTACTGGCTTGAAACTGTGAGTAAATTACTATTTTGATTAAAAGTTACTGACACCTTAACTTTTTGCAAGAAAGCGTATCAACAAATGTTGGTGCATTACCTATTCTTTTAACAGGATTGTCAATTTTGTTTGTACTAGTTTGACTTACATATACTAGTTTGACTTTGTAATCAATAAGATACTTGTTGTTTTTGAAGATAGAATCTCAGAAGTTGAGAATAGATAATTTTGACAAAATGCACTAGAATTAATCTTTTTACACCGTTTTTATAGTTATTGGTTAGTCTTGAATTTGACACAAAAGACATGACTGAAGTTTGCATGGACTTTTACATGAACTATAATACACCTCCTTCACAGAAGATCAATCGCCCATATATAGTATAAGTGGCAAGAACATTGATGAATTCCTTTTATTTATCCTTCTGCATCACGATTAAAGTGCTATTGTCGCACCTAAATTCAAGATTTAAATAATTTTAATATCTTCATTTTTAGTTAGAATTTGTTATGAAATTAATTTATATTTTTTATGGATGTATTTTTAATATTCGTATCTTTGCATTTCAAGTATGAGATGTAGTTTGTAAATACTAAAGACATTACAGCACAACATGTATATTTGCCATCTAGATACCTACTAATCATATAGTTATGGTTTGTTACGTTTTGAAAGGCATTGCATTACAATTTTTACTTTTTTGTTATATATTTGAAATTTTTTATTTAATTATATATATTCCAAATGCACAACCCTGAATAAGTAGTTTATCATTCAACATCCGTCAACATTACAAAAAATTAAAAATTAATTTGAAATGATTACGTTAATCCTTTTGCATGATGAATCCTGCCTAGTAAGACTGAAATTCTTGTGTGTGAAACGTCCAAATTCTTTAAAATAGATGTCATTAATTTTAAAGCAATAGAATTGTGTCCTATTATCCTTATTTTCATAAATCAAGTATGTGGCTTAAACATTATTATTCTATCCTATTTAGATAACATGGGCGTCAACAAATTTTTCTTCAAATAGATTTATTACCAAATGCTATGGTATCGATTATTAAGTTAATGATTATACTTTTCAATTGCTTATGATGTCAATCTAGAGAAAAGTTCGTTCATGATTTTCAAGATACA